GTAATGATTAAGGTTATCATATTACGTAATTTTATTATTTATAACTAACTGCTTACCCCTAAAAATTATCTCTACATATTAAAGTGAGTTATTGCCTTTCATTAATATTCACTGTAGTCATAAGATAAAATATAAAAATGTAAAAATTCAAGTAAAACTTATTGGATGCATATACTGAGACTTAAAATAATACAAAACAACTTGTCACCTCTGGTGCTTTAATGCCTTATTTGAATTTTAAAATATATTAACTGGGTTACAACCCCTCAAACTCTACACGAAGCTACGACACTAACTGCATCAAACAGAACCTGACTAACTTTCAACACTTCCAACCGTGCCTACATCAGGCCTTTCAGGTTTGTTCTAATCTCTCTCTGGACAAGCAGCAGCGGTGACAACATTGTCTTTTGTTATGAATCATGCTGATTATGATCTGACTTCTCATTTTAATGTGTGCCATTTGACTAAAATCTACCTGGTTGTTTACTAAACCTCTAGACTGAGCAAGTATGTGACAAAATGATACATACATACATTTAAAAAAAAAAAAAAAAAAAAAAAAAAAAAAAAATCAACGTAAAGCTAACTGTTAGTAAAACGTAAATGTCACTTATCTTCAAATATGACCAACTATTATAAGTATAAAATATTTAATGCTACTTTATAAATTGCATAAAGTTTATTTTATTCTCAAACTTATTAACAATCATGTTAATTAATTCATGTTTAGTAATAATGTGTACTTCTTAGGGATCTATTTTATTTTTAGGATGGTATTACAAACATGAAATTCAGGCATAGGTAATATTTTTAATTGAATTTATCCAGTTCCCATTTGCTCATAGGTCCTTAATTTTTTTTTCATTAATGGTCCTTAAAAGTCCTTAAAAGTGCTTAATTTCCATGTGCAGAAATGTGTACGAACTCTGTACAACTTTTAAAGATTGCAAGATGAAAGTGAACTTTACATATTTGGAGAGCCAAGTAAAGTAATGCGAAAGATTCTCTGCATTAATGGAAGAATCAAATTCAGATCCATTTCATCTAAAGCCTTGTCTGAATTTGGTTGTGCAGAAAGTGAACTCATTTATTACTATACTGTTTATAACTGGAATATGTTTAGCTGTAAAGAACTCGCTGCAATAAAGTATGCAACAAAGTTAACTTTATCAGGCCAGGAAGAATGACATGGGAAGTATGTAATATTTTTTTTTTTTTTTTAAAGATCTTGTGTTTCTTGTTCAAAATTGTAAATACTGGGCCCTTCATGAAGTTTTAACATCCAATTTTATGCATTTGAACCCCTTTCTTCTGGTCTGGAAATGCCTGAGTTTCATGATCATCTGAAATCGTCATTTTGCAAACAAGATTGATTACAAGTTGCTTCATCACTATTCAGAAACATACTAAATATTCAGATGTTAAGTATGGCATTATATTTGAAAGATCCGTTAGAAATACAGTTTTTTCTCTTTTTTGTTTTTAAAACTGACATTATTGAGAGCCATCTGTAGCTTGATTATGAGAAAAAAAAGATTCCACGGAAAAAAAATAGTTCTGAAACTCACCAGCAGGAGAAAATGTGATGCTATTATAGTCTGCCAGACTGAAAATTTGCACCAAACACAGGTAAAATTTGAAAATACAAATGTATAGACATAAACTAGTATAAAATACACAAACAACTGCAGAATCAGTAATTCATCTGTGTATTAAGGAGCTTATTATTCAGCTGTAATATAAAGGTAAGAGGGAAAACACTGAAGAATATTCCTAATGTTAGCTGGGCCCAGAATTCTCAGCACATGCTACTTCTGAAGTTGTTTTGTCTTCATCAGTTGAATGCAGCCAGTACGTTTTGGGAATTCAACATTGTAGTAAACCCACGTAGAGGCCTTCTATTATTTAATGCATTGAAATGCATGATTCAGAATTTGGGGAAATAGGATGCTTAGCAGTTCAGTGTGATAGAGGATGTCATAACATACAGTTACTGATGTTGCAACTGCAATTCTTGATGGCATCCTTGAGACTGTTGCCAGTGGAAGCAGTTCCCAGGGGGTAGCATATGCTTCAAAAATATACATCTCAGAGACAATGAACAGATGGCCACTTGTGTCCAACATTTTGGACATAATATCTGCTCTAGCTGCATATATTATATTTAAGGTTAATGTCAATATGCACAGCCATAAAAATAATGGCTGTCGTTTATTTTGGCACCAGTTAGGTGAACAGTTGGATTTAAATCTTTTAACGGTATGGAAAATCGTGCAGAAAGTTCTCCACCTCTACACATACAAAATATATTGCGTGCAAGAATTGAAACACAATGATTATGACTATGGGTGGCATTTGCTCTAGCATTTCTTGCCAGAATGGAAGTCAGTAATGCTTAGCTGTGGAAAATTCTGTGGGAAGATGAGTTCCATTTTTAATTAAATGGGAATGTGTTAATATTTGCAACTCTCAGATTTGGGCATCTGAACATCCATGCAGTTCAGAAAAACCCATTGTATTCACCAAAAGTCACTATTTGGTATGGCTTCATAGCAGATTTTGTCATCGTATCATTCTTTTTGAGAATATTACTTTAACAAGACCATAGAGCTGTATTGTTACCATGCAAAAGTACCATAATATATTGACTAGTTTTGTCATTCCCTAACTTCAGCAGAGGCAGTTGCTAGATCACGTAACTTCTATGCAGGATGGAGCACCACGGCACATTAATCGATTGGTACAGTGGCTGTTGCATCATCACTTCACAGAAAAAAGGCTCGTCTTTTCCACATATATGGCCACATCACTCATTCGATCTAAGCCCATGTGACTTTTCCTGTAGAGTTATTTGAAGTCTGAAGTGTGGTGTGATCCTGACCTTGAGAACAGTAAAAGATAGTACAGTCAAAAGTCGTTAATCCGGACTCGTCGGGACTTCGGCGATTCTGGATTATCGATTTTTCCGGATTATAGATCATCAGTTTAAATCTCGTAAGATGGCATGCAGAAATTCTAAAATTAAAAATATGAAAATACGTAATTTATGAAATAAAGAGCAATTATGATCTAAAGGGGAACTTCCATCAAAAATTTGCAAAATCTACAGAAAAGAAGCTTAATATTTATTTGTTTACTTTAAATAAACATTTCTTTTCAACTGTAAGTTGTTTAAATTTGCTTCGTTTCATGTGGGGCTAATACTTTTCTCTTTAATTCTATTAAACAGACATAATTTCTTGTTCAGTTACAAAGTTCCGCTGTTCAAGTCCTATAATTGCTGTGTCGAGAACACCGACTAATTTGTCAATCGAATTTTTTTCGTTTTCAATAACCTCTGTCACTTTTCTTCGCTATCGGAAGCGAATTATAATGACGAGGAACTTGTTTTAAATCATATCAAAGACGGAGCATATTGAGATGAAATACTACATTTGGTAAGGAATTACAAGCCAAATAAAATAAAAACATCTGATCTTCAATTATAAGCCAAATAAAATAAAAACATCTGCCCTGAAGATAAGGATAGTGCCGACAGATAACTTCCAATTCATTACGCACCCGCCGCACGGCGTTCCCCCCGCCGAGCAGCGTGAAATTGATAAACAGATTTCGGATTTCAAAACATACTTTCGCTTTAGATCCTTTACATATTAACAAATATATATCGGAAATTCTATTTGATATAATCGAAAGTTTAAGCTTACTTTTATAAAATTGCTCTTACAGTCTGCAAAAAATAATAAGCCGGATCTAATTCGAAAATTAAGGAACAACGCAATCATCAACATTAACTGAAATAGATAATTAGATAATTTTAGCTTATACGTCCATTATACATAAAACGCGCACGCGAAAACGTATTCTGCACTTGCGCACACTCATATGTGCAGTCGTAAAAGGTCTTACGCGCACGCGTAAACGCCTATGCGCATGTGTCAACGCGGCGCATGCGCAGAAAGTTTTTAGTTTTGAGGTCCAGATTATAGATCATTCCGAATTATGGGTGTCCGAATTAACGACTTTTGACTGTATATCACAAGTTGTGCTGAGCATTTCTAGTCACATGTTATGCACGGATGTCAAGAAAGTTGAGTACAAGATGGAATGTGTGGTCTAGTGATCACATTGAAAGATGTCGATGCCCATACCAAGAAATGCTTTCATTGAATAACGTACTATGGTGCACTGAAATATCATCTCTGTAACTCTTTGGAGCAGTTCATTTGCTTCATTAAAGCTGAAATTTCTGTGTCATTCATTTGCCTAATTCTCAACAGTATAGATTATTACTGCACTACATTTTTTCTTATCAGCGACTTTCAGAACTGCGTGTTACTTTGGTTACCAGAACTTATCTTTGGGTCTGCTGTTACTTGTAAGTATATAGGTTTTGAGCTCAAACTATTGGCAAGTCAAAAGTCCTGTCAAGAAGTTTGGTGACAAGAGATAGGATGTTCTTGAATCCATCCCCTGGAATGTTTTTCATCAAAACTGGATGAAACTTCTCCATTCTTCTAGGTTTAAAATTGGTTCCCCCTCTGTGGTGCACTTTGGGATCTGTTCTCAATGATGAGACTACTAAATGATGAATATCTGTTGGTAGTTGTCAATGAATGCTTTAAATTGCAAGTGTCCAACTCTTTGAAATGATAAAATATCATAAAATGAATATCATTTGCCTAATTTTCCATTTCTTATGATTAGTCCCCTCCTTCCCAATGTAATTCCCATTTTAAGTAAGCATTCCCATTTGTAAGCATTTCCTTCCCAATTGTTTTAAAATATTCAGATATGTGTCTGTTTTCTCTGTAAAATTCAATTTAGGCTTTTTTCTGAATTTTTTTTTTTTTTTTTTTTTTTTTTTTTTTTTTTTTAATCTTGTGACTTTTCCTTTCATGAAGTTGCTAGTTATGTAGTGTAGTAACAGTTATAATGTGTATTATTAAAAGTTTCATTAATTGTGTCTGCTGTTTACTTAAATTGTGCATTTTTAGCTTATCCTGAGTATGATGGAGGAAGTGAAATCTTAGAATGTGAAGTAGAAGTTATGTATCCAGATGAAACTTCTCGATCAGCTTATAAAGGACCTGGCACAGACTGTGTTGTAGCAGGTTTGCTGCCTGGCCGTCGGTATTCATTCCGTATTCGTGCATACAATAAAGTTGGGGTATGATACTTTCAGAAGTTTATTTTAAATTACTTCAACTTTTGTGTATACAAAAATGTTATTTTTCCTTTTGGTATTTGTAATAAAATTTTTTTGTTAAATATTAATTTTTAGCAATTAATCTGACATTCTATTTAAATGTTGCATCAAAATGATATATTTTTATTTTTAGGCTAGTCAGTGGTCTGATCCTTTTGAAGTTATGAGCGGTGCTGGGACACCTGATATGCCAAAGGATGTTCAGGCTGTGTCTCGATCTCCTCACTGCATATTTGTATCTTGGTCTGAACCAGCAAATAATGGTGCTACTATTACTGAATATCGTCTAGAAAGTAAACATGATGAAAAGAATTTTGAATTGGTTAGTATTTTGACATAATTTTGTTTTTAAACATAGTGAAAGTGAATTTTGTTTTTAAACATAGTGATAGGAAGATATCACAGCATGAAGTAGAATTTTTAAAATACATCGAAATAAAAAGTGTTTTTATGGTATTATGAAATGAACATGGAGAAAAGTGCATAATAATTGTTAGCCATTAGCCGCTGATGTTGCATTGATGCCACGGTCAAAATAAATGTGTATGTAAATATAACTACCTAAGATATTTTATACCAGCAGATGATTTTGTGTAGCGAATATTATAAAGATTATTTCTGTAAAAACGTATTTGCCTTCAACAATCATTTTGTTTATAATAATTAATCTCATACTTTAAGCAAAATTTTCGACTGGGTATTTTTGCTGAAAATATTTAATGAAAGAATCACCATCTTTATGAGTGATCACCATTTATAAGAACATTACATCAATCAGGTGTTTATACTTGTATTGGGAAGGAAGGGAAAACAGATGTTGTGCTGACACAACCTCAGCAGGAAACATGCAATCTCTTTTTTTTTACTCATTCCTTTTGATGTTCTGGTTCATGTTCTGGCTGCTTTAAAAATGCCTAGAACAAGATATCTTAAATTGAAAAATCCCTTCAAAGATTTTTTGATGAAGAAACAGATGATGATAATGTTAATAATGACCAGAATGAAACTGATATTGTTGTTGTTCTCCCAGAAATTGCAGAAGCTAGTGATGAAGAAGGGAATGACAATGTTTTAAATAATGATATTTTACCAAATGCTAGTGCTGAGGAAGTTGAAATTTACATAAGAAGTACTTTTTCAGCCTTCTAAAAGCAGTGGTAGCCATACAAAAAAGTTTAAAAAGCAGAAAACTGAAAACCTGAAATGTATAAAAAAGGAACCATCAGTTTTATCTTAGAAAGAAAATGAAGAAAGAGATAGAAGAGAAACTATAAGAGAAGGTAAAACTAGTGGAGAGATTTTCTATTTTCTTTTTGGTTCAGACATTTACTCTCTTTTCATTGAACAGACAAATATATACGCTCAGCAAAAAAATCGCCCAGAATTTATTGCATCTGAAGACTATATGAGAAGATTTATTGCAATATTATTGCTTACGGGATATTATTCTTTACGCCAAGAAGAGAATGTATGGTCTCTTGATAATGGACATTTCTGTTTCTATTGTACGAGAATCGATGTCACATTTGCAGTATATATATATACATCAAGCAGAATTGCATTTAGCTGACAATAGTCAAACTGACAATACTGATAAATTATATAAGATGAAACCGTATCTAAATTTATTAAATAAGAAATTTCAACAATTTAGTATATTTTCCCAAGATCTGAGTATTGATGAGCAAATGATTCCTTATCGAGGCAAACATTCAGCAAAGAGGTTTTTAAAAGGGAAACGTATAAGATTTGGATATACAGCATGGACTCTGGCGTCATCTGATGGATATGTGTTTCATTTCGATATTTATTCAGGTAAGTCGAGAGCTCCAAAATTACCAGAATATGAAGAATTTGGGCTTGGAGGAAGTGTGGTGATAAATTTGCTCAGTGTTGTTGAAACTCCCACCAATCAGACTATTTATTTTGATAACTATTTTCATCATTTCAGCTTCTCTGTCATCTAAAAAAAAAAAAAAAAAAGTCTTCAGTGCTACAGGAACAATTCAGGAAAACCACATACAAATGTGCCCTATAGAAACTGTGAAATGTGTCCATAAGAAAGTTAGTTGTTATGATTTCCATTGTGAAGAGAAAAACAAAATGATTTTTGTCCGATGCAACGACAATTTGGTTGTAACTGTTGGTTCAACATTTGGAAACATTCAGCCCATAAAAAATGTTTCCCGTTATTCAAAAATGCAAAGGAAAAAGGTTTTTGTATCTCAGCCTCATCTTATTGAACAATACTATGCCAAAATGGGTGGAGTCGATTTATATGACAATTTAGTAACGAATTAACAGAATAAGAGTGGCAAAAAATGGCAGTGGCCAATATTTACTATAAGTCAGCTATATGGCATAGGTGAGGTGGTTGAAAACTTGCATAAAGGGGCCACAAGCATCTCATAGTTGGCCTTCTAGAGTTGGCAAAATTGAAATAATATTATTTTCATATAAAATTGCCTAGAATTTGGAGAAAATGCTAATTTACCTAATATTAGGTGGGCATACATTTTTAACTAGATGACTACATATAGAGTGCCTGTAAAAAGTAGTAAAATTTTCTTTAAATTTATAAACATGAACACTTAAGTTATAGGACATAAAATTTTCAGAACAAAAGATTTATTATCTAAAAGATAATGAACTATTGTGTCTGGAAATTACTCGCCATATTCCTTAACGTGTTGAAAAAGATTTTCTTTTTGAGGCAATTATTTGGCTGGTCTTGGAAATTACATTTGCTAATATTGTAGAACATTTTCAATTAGTGAGTAATCTGTAGATCTGCAAACTGTGATAGTATGGTGATACTACATTGACGTTCTCATGGCTTGTTTGCAAGAAGTTCGATATGTATTTGTCTGTAGCCATTTCATGCACGACCATACCAGAAATGCTATAGGAAACTGCTAGAAAGTCTCATGACTGTATCAAGCAATTGTTAAGCTGTGATTAGTATGTACTGAAGGACGTTGGCAGCATAACCTCAGACCTTCACATCCTGTCTTCTAGTTGTGCATTATTTGACATGTTTGACTATATTTTCCTGTCACAAAGGTGCTATATGTGTATTTGTCCATTCTCGTATTTGAAACAAAAGTAGAATATGTCACCAGTGATGGCTGGATGAGATGACATTCTATTCTTTCATATTGTATATCCATAGTACCAGTCAAACAAAGACAATGAAGTTAAGTGGCAAAATATAGAATAATTTTGCAACCCTACTTCTGCAAGGCAACTGGAAGGTATTTAAGACACCAAATAAAGACTAATTCAGAAGTCAAATAACAAAAATCAGCGTTATATTTGTGAGAATTTTGTAAATATAACACTGATTTTTGTTGTTTGACTTCTGAATGGAAGGTATTTGCTTAATGGTACTCTGGTGATGACAGGTATCACCATGCATAGATAGCAGTAGGATTAATTAGATCAACCATACATAAATAATAAATAGTAGATAGTAGGATTAAGCATACATAGATAGCAGTAGGATATGTGGTAAAATAGTAGGATTAACTAGGCGTTTTCAGGCTTACAGAGAAGTTGAGGATTGAGGTGGACACTCATGTCAGTGGCTGCAGAATAAGCATATTGTATAAACCCTTTTTGAGTTTTAAGATTTCTCTCTGCCTTGGTGTCATAATCCCTCCAAAAAGTATTGTTGGGCAGGCGAATCAGCTTTTCATGAAGAACTGCATTCTTTCATTTATGTTTCATATTGAAGGGTTTTGAGTTAAACACTGCATTGCTAGAATAGGAGTGGTTCTTACAGCACCCGTAATAATATGGAGAGTTTGGTTTTGAACAGTTTCAAGTTTTTGAATAGTACTAGTAACAGCAGAGACCAGAACTTCATTAGAAGATTGGCTAAATGAAAAGTTTGAAGGTGGTATTCAAAGTGTTTTGGCTGTTGTAAAAATACATCATATGAACTAGTTATCATAAATGAGGAATGCATTCATTGATTTGCCATCTTAGCACTATTATCAGAATTTTGGCATCGTTTTCTTTAAGTTCTCTGCAGAAGTTGATCCATCATAAAATTTAAATTTATGGAAGTATACTATTTAGTTGTCTGTAACATATTGTTGCATGCGTACAGGTTCATAATGAATTGAATGTGCAAGTCCAATGAAAAGTCAATGAAATTTATTATTATCACAACAAATAAAATAAAATGCTTAGATTTCCACAGATATGCATACAATTTTGCAATATCTCACAATAGTTACCTTTTAAACTACTCAAATGTTCAACAGAACTTAATTCAAAATATAGAAAACTAATCCGATTTCACCTCAAATTCGCTACAGTAAACAATAACGGTTTTCTAAAACAAACTGAATTGAGAGGTTTCTCCTCCAGCTTTTATAAGCTTTTTAAATGCACGCGAAACTTTTCGTATTTTCTCGTTTTTTCTGGCTATCAAAAGGTTACAAGATATTTATTATTAAAGTGTTAGATGCGCATGCTCCTGTGTTTAATTTTTCGGCATAGCTTTCTCCTCAAATAAGTCTCGTGCCACATTGCATGGTAATATAAAACACTTTTAATTAATTCTTTTTTAAAATAGCTAAATCAATACAAAAACCATAACAATGCCCCCTGCCCATGGACTGCACGTCCCGGGCAGCACAATCCCTGGCTATGAAGCCAAACCTAACTAAAACATCTATGCAATAATAAACATTACAATAATTGCAATAGTAACTTAAAACAATTCCAATACTATCAAATACTAAAAAAAAATTAAATACTAAGTCAAATCAAATACACGTTTAAAAACAAAAAGGACTATGGTCTTACACTATTTACAATTATTTACACTACGTACTATGGCCATAGTAATGAGCTAACCTGTTGTAATGAACGACTTTAGGTTTAGAGTTCGATGACTTATGGATTCGAACCATGACATCATTCAGCCTGTTTAGGACTGTGTACGGACCATCTCAAGGTGACTGTAATTTTGGACAGAGTCCTTTCCATCGAGTCGGATTGCTTACTCCTTCGTGAAATTATGTCCAGTAGCTCTTGCGTCGTATCGGGTCTTCCATCTTCTCCATTGCCAAGTTGACTCGCTCTCATGTAAAATTGTGCATCACTTCAAACCGGGCCTGGAGATTTTGGATGTATTCCTCAGGTGATAAAGGCGTATCCGGAGGGCAACCAAACAAGAGGTCACAAGGCAGACTAAGTCTGAAAGCTCATGACTGAAGAACATTTGATATGGAGAATAGCTGGAAGTCTGGTGTTTCTCTTTTACCCTAGTATGATTTCGGCTGCTTTCTGAGCAGGGTCTTTCAGACAAGACGTCAGAGTTTCAAAGTGAGGATTCTTTTTGATGATGGATAGTTATGCCCTCTGATGCTGAAGGCAGTTTTTTGTTTTTGAGGTCCAGGGAAAAATAGTATTTCCTTAAAAAGTCCAATCCGAGTATGCAGGGATCTGTAATATCTGCCACATATGCAGTTTGATGGTAGGCGGCACTTGCAAATATGATGTTCACGTTTAACTTCCCAGTTTTGTTCGATCCTATCACCAGGCACAGTCTGGAGGGTAACACAGGACAGAATTCAAAGGAGTTTTTCTTTAAACGTTTGAGCTAAATCTTTCCGAATGATTGCTCCTGAGTCAATGATCATATTGCAAGGAAGTCCATCGATATACCCTTTGATTTACAGTCCATTACTGTTGGCTCTCACTGCAGAAATCTTGAGGGCTTTAAAGCAAGGTTTTTTTTCATTATCTGGCAACCTCGTTCTTCGATATGGTCATTAATTTGTTTTCCTGCGTCGTTGCTGAGGAAATGGTCTCAATTTCTGTGTTCACTGAGGGTGTTCTTGCAGTTCCTTCGCACGTGGGCCTATCAGCTTCACAGTTCCAGCACTTTCGTTTCTTGTCAGTCCTTTTTTGTCCGATGGCATTTAATTGTCTGTTTAACTCGTCTGTCTCATTTTCCGTGCTCTGGGGATTTCTGCAGTTCCTTGATATGTGGCTTTCAACACCACAGTTCCAGCACTTTAGGACTGGTTTCTTTTCACTACTATTCCTTCTTAAGGCACTGACTGGTCTTGTCACATTATCTGTTTTATTTCCATACCTTGGGGTGTTCTGCAATGCCGTTGTATGTGGCCTTCAACACCACATCTCCAACACCTTAGAGCCAGTCCACTCTCACTCTGTATCAAAGCATTGACTTGTCTGAATAAATCATCTAAATCAGCCATCAGTTGATCTATTGGCTCTTGGACTCACACAGCTCTGGCTGGGTGGTGATCTCTACGAGTTGCTTTCTGGGCTGCGTCATATTTCATGGCGTACAACAGAGCACTTTTTACGTCCTTCACATCTGCAGAGCTTTCTGCATTTTAGGATCCCAGATTCCATCGATGAAGTACTGCAGGGAGTCTGTTTCTCTTGTTTCTGTTGAGCACTCCGAAAAGGCAAGATGGGACATTCTTTCAACATCAGTGGCGAGCTCCTCGAGTGTTTCTGTGGGCTTCTGTTGACGGGATTTTAATTGAAGACTGCTGTAATCTTTCACACATTTCTCACCAAAGCTCAACTCTAAAGCACCGGATAAAGCTTCGAAATCTAGCCTTTGGTATTCCAGAAGAGTCTGAAGGATATCCGCAGCGTCTGCTTTCAAAGAAGCGGCAAGATACAGGCCCTAGCTTGGGAATCCCATCTGTTCGCTTCCGCCACTATTGAAAATTGCATACACTCTCTTGCCATCATATGTGGATAACTTCAGGGAGGAACGAGCAGGCATGAGTAAAAATTTAAAACCATCAGAACTGCTCCCTGCCATGGCTAGGAATTTCTTTATAGTGTCAACTTCTTTGGCGATGACAGCAGAAACTCTGTCTTCAGTTTGTTGTTCAGTATGTCCTTGGACGGTAGAAATTCTTTCTTCAATTTGTTGTTCAAATTGTTGTTGGATGGCCGAAACTCTTCTTTCGATTTGTTGTTCCACAGCCGACATTCTCTCTTCTATTTGATCTTTGACGGAAGACACCTTTTCTTCAATTTGTCCGACTTTATTTTCGACAGCTCCTGTTCTGTCTTCCATAGCCTTGAATTTATTTATTTTTATGCAAGTTATTTCTTTTTTCATTTCCTTTTGATCTGCTTCAATCTTTTCCTTACGAGATTTCATCTCTTTTTTAATGGATATCATCTCTGTTTTAACAGAATGTTTTATGTCTTCTTTAAATGATGCTTGGCCAGCTTCCGTCTTTTCTTGGAATGCAGTAAAAGCAGTGATGAGCTGCCTCAATTGTTCTTCCGTTGCTCTGGTAATTGGCATTCAAATCCCACTTCTGACACCAAAATGTGTTGCGTGCGTACGGGTTTGTAATGAATTGAATGCGCAAGTCCTACGAAAAGTGAGTTATTATTCTCCCAACAAATAAAACAAAATGCTTAAATTTCCACAGATATGCATACAATATTGCAATATCTCACAGAAATTATCTTTTAAATTACTCAAACGTTCAACATATCTTTAATTCAAAACATAGAAAGCTAATCCGATTTCACCACAAACTCGGTACAATAAACAACAACAGTTTTCTAAGACAAACTGAATTGAGTGGTATCCCCCAGCTTTTATAAGCTTTTTAAACACATGCGAAACTTCTCGTATTTTCTTGTCTCTTTTGGATATCAAAAGATTACAAGATGTTTATTATTAAAATGTTAGATGCGCATGCTCCTGTATTTAATTTTTCAGTGTAGCTTTCTCTTCAAATAAGTTTCGTGCTGCATTGCACGGTAATATGAAACAATTTTAATTAATTCTGTTTAAAAATAGCTAAATCAATACAAAAACCGTACAGTATATAATACAAAGTGTGTCTATTAATTTCCAGGTCTGCTCTAATAACACCAGAACAGATGATGTCAAAAATGTAATCCTCATCTGACGTAATACACTTCTGTGCTCGGCTGTATAAGTTAAGGAAACAACTTGTAAAGTCCTCTTTCGGAAGGCTCTTCAATGTCAGGGTCACGTTCCTCTTTATGTCTTCAACATCCACAAAGCTTGTTCCTTTGATCGCAGTTTTGAGTTTGGGAATGTTCGGTCATACTCTCTTGACTTGGTCCCCGCAGACTTCTTTTTGTTTCCCAAACTCAAAACTGTGATCAAAGGAACACTCTTTGTGGCTGTTGAAGACATCAAGAAGAACATGATGTCGTCAATGAAGAAAGAGGACTTTACAAGTTGTTTCCACAACTTATACAGCCGAGCACAAAAGTGTATTACGGCCGATGGGGATTACTTCGAAACATATTAAAAGGTTAAGTTTTTCTCATCATCTGTTCTGGTGTTATTAGAGCAGTCCTGAAAATTAATAGCCACACCTTGTATTTTCATTAGAATGGTCATTTATGGATGCATAATGCTCAAAGGATTCTTTCTGTAATTTATGATTTAGTTGGTACTTATTTATTGTAAATTTTTCCAACTGTAAATGGACTTGGGGATTACTAGTGATAAAGTTGAAACACTGTTAAAAGTGGAGAAGTAACACTTTCTAAGTAAGTAAGTAAATACATGGAAGTAACACATTCTAACTTGATTACAGATTTTATGGCTGATGAACTAATACTGAAATGATATTTTTAAAAAGTGTCTTGACCTATATGTATGGTAGTTATTTTATTAATTTCATTGTATGTTATGATTTTGATTTAATTATCTATTAGTGATTAAAAATGCATTGTTAAATTAAATTGTTTGTATACAATTTTCTCATCATTATGAATGACTGTTTGCTTATTTGTGTTCTGAAACCTTAAGGACTTGTACTAAATGTTTTGTAGGTGTATTCAGGTTCCTTATGTTGTGCTGAAGTGAAATCCTTAATTCCTGCCACCATGTATTATTTTCATGTGCAAGTATGTTTCTCTTTCTTATTTTATGTAATATGAAATTTTCATTTTTCAGGTTTTTATATTACAGTCAAAAGTCGTTAATTCGAACACCCATAATCTGGAATGATCTATAATCCGGACCTCAAAGCTAAAAACTTTCTGCGCATGCGCCGCTTTGACGCATGCGCATAGGCGTTTAAGCGTGCGCGTAAGACCTTTACGACTGCGCATTTGCGTGTGCACAAGCGCAGAATACGTTTTCGCTGCGCGTTTAATGTATAACGGACGGTATAAGCTAAAATTATCTAATTGTCTATTTCAGTTAATGTTGATGATTGCGTTGTTCCTTAATCTTCGAATTGGATCCGGCTTATTATTTTTTGCAGACTGTAAGAGCAATTTTATAAAAGTAAGCTTGAACTTTCGATTATGTCAAATAGAATTTCCGATGCTGGAGCTCCCAAAGGATCTACGAAAACCAAAGTATGTTTCGATGTCCATCAAACAAAAAGTGGAATTGCTCCAAAAAATGGATAAAGGCATATCCTTTGTTATCTAACCGTTCCGAAATCTGTTTATCAATTTCATGCTGCTCTGCGGGGGGGGGGACGTGGCGGCGCGCAATGAACTGGAAGTTGATCTGTCAACACTATTGTTATCTTCAGGGCAGATGTTTTTATTTTATTTGGCTTATAATTCCTTATTGAATGTAGTATTTCATCTCGATGTACTTCGTCTTTGATATGATTTAAATCAAATTCCTCGTCATTATAAATATCACGAATACAAATCAAATAGTTTTCTGGTTGCAATTTTCTAATTTCGGCTATTTCTAATTTCTAATTTCTAATATAATTTCTAATTTCGGCTTACGCATGCGCGCGTTGAAAGAAATGTTTAATAAAGTAAACAAATAAATATTAAGCTTTTTTTTTTGTAAATTTTGATACCCTATAGATCATAATTGCTCATTATTTTATAAATTACGGTTTCATATTCTAAATTTTATAATTTCTGCATGCCATCTTACCAGATTTAAACTGATGATCTATAATCCGGAAAAATCAATAATCCGGAATCGCCGAAGTCCCGATGAGTCCGGATTAAAGACTTTTGACTGTATTAAAAAATTATAGAATTTTTGTTTAACTTTTCTTTATCTAGCCTTCTTTCTTTCTTTTCTCTTTCTAATTGCAAATTACATTAACTTAACTATCGTTTAACATGTTGAGGTTCGGTGCATAAATTTGTTTTTTTCTGGAAAAAATAACTTTACACATAGATAATTAGGCCCTAATATAATGTTATTTCATGGGGAAAAAAAAAAGAAAAGGTAATTCATGACATGGTGGGATACCTCTTAACCCACCGTGCATCTAGAGCAATAAAATGGAATCTTTGCCTGAGTATAAATTCTCCTAACATGTTTATATAAAGTGCTAGTTTTAGCAATCAAATGAAAGTGCAAGTTTTAAAAAAGTTTTTGAATAATTATCTAGAAAATCCTGATCATATAAATATTTTATATTTTTTCAAAAATTACAAAATTTAAAAAACATTTGCTTCCTGTATGGCATTTCACATATTTTTTAATGATTTCATAATAGATTTGAAACGGAGAAGATTTTTGCTGCAGTACATTATTTGCTAGAGGTTTGAAAAGGAAGATATTTAGAAGGTCATCATGTTTATTTTGATTTCACCTCTCTTTCCTCTGCTTAGGATGTTTTTCTATGGTGAATCACATATACATTCAGTATTCAATGATATTTCATGTTACAGGGTTATATTTCCATTTCTTTTGGGAAAAATACTAAATCTTTTTCAAGTTTTAACAATACTGCAATTTATTGAAAAAAAATTAATTTTTTTTCCAATAAATTGCAGTATTATGTAATTGCAGTAAAAATTAATTTACATTTTCAATATATGAAATAAGCATAATACGAATAAAAAAAAAATTCAATGGTGCTGCCATCGAGTAGCAGCAATTCCTACGTACACAGTGGGATGTATTTGTCCCACCTTTTAATTTCATCCATTTTTAATTAAGACAGATGAATTCAAATCATAATTTTTATTAGAAAAAGAAACTTTCAGATAAAAATATTCATTCTAATACCAAAAGTTGTTGTACAGACAATTTAAATTGCATGAAAAATTAAGGGTGGGGGAACTGCTTCAAAGTTAGACCTACAAAGAATTTTCATTTTACATTTTTTCTGTAAATGAATACCAGTGCTGCCATCTGGTATACAGTTAGAAATTAAAAGGTGTAATTGTTTGTATTTTAAATGGAATTTTTCTGCTTTCATCTGGGAGATAAAAACTGATGAATAAAGTGGGGCCCATCAAAGGGCTAAGTAAAACAGGCTCACGTTTGTTTTCAGAAAATAAGTCTGTATTGCAGTTTTTTTGCGACCTTAATCTGACTTGATTATAGTATACATAAGATTTCTCAAATTTCTTAGTTGGTATTTGAGATTTTGAAAAGATTTTATTTTGGAGGTGTTAAAAATTACATTGCATAATACATTTAAAAATAGAAGGGGCTTTGAAAATAGTTCACATATTAAGTGGACTTGCCCTCTTCTATTAATCATTTGTGGTTGGCCAGAAGCTTATGTGTTTCATTCAACGTTTCTAAATTGGAGAATAAGGAAATATTTGTGTGGTTTTAACATCATAGAATCAATAATTTTAAAATTTAAAATTAATAATGAATTAACTTTCTAAAAAATCATATTTTAGTATGAAAGGGAATAAAAAAAGATTGTGGATTGTGTTATGAAGTAAATATATATATATATATATATATATAGGGAGGGGGGGAAGAGGATTTTTTTTCTGAAGTATAAAGAAAGAGAAAAAGGTAATAGGAACTTGATTCTATTTTTTTTTTTTTCTAACAAGGATTCCTATTGCTGTTTTGTGGGAGTGTTAGATGTTGATAAATTCTTGTCATAATATTTGATTCTACATATAAGTAATGTTAGTATGTAACAACAAAAATCTCCTTTAAAACTTTGAAAGGCTTGAGATTAGCAAGAAGTTGTCTTTTTTTACTTTTAACCCCCCCTTTTTTGTGTGAAATATTTTAATAAGATTATGCTCCTTTTCTTCCTCAAAATGTTGTGCTGCAGTTTGTTGATGCTGTATTCTTTTAAATGCTTCATTTTGCAACTCATTAATTTGAACTTTTCTGTGAATTTGCCTTGGTCATCTCTATTTTTTAAATGATAATAATAAGCATTTTAATTATGATAGTATTAAAAATTGTACTGACCTCGATCTTAATTTCTTTATCAAAATTTTGTTAAAATGGGATTTCAACTTTTGTTGTATGAATTAATTTTTTGTTTATTTATTGTTAAGGCTGTAAATTCTGCTGGAGCAGGTCCTTTCTGTGAGTGTGTGTCTTATCAGACACCTCCCTCTTCACCAGGATCTGTATCCACTGCAAATATCAAAAGTATAGTTGGTGCTTCTACTATTGCATTATCCTGGAAAGAGCCAAACAATCATGGTTCACCCATTCTTAGCTATAATATTGAAGTTGGAGATGTATTACATACAACTGATGGAGACAATCCAGAAATCTGTATAGAAGGTTTAGTGCCAGAAACGACATACAAGTATGGTTTTATTTTTATTTGCTTTGTGTTACTTTATTGAAAGGTTAATACTTTTGATCTCTTAAAAATTCTATAAAAGTAGTTGCTTTGTTTTTATGGCAAAAAATATCTAAAATTATTATTTCATTATAGAGCATGCAATTAATAAAATGTAACATAGAATTAAAATTACTACAGCAGTTTATAATTTAAAAGCCTGTTCTTAAGTTATAATTGTGACTGCCAAAGGAAGACTAATACTTTAAAATCTTCCTATGCTCAGATTTTTATTAAATAAACATTATTTTTGTTACATTTATTGTTAAAGTGTTGTCCAAGTTGTGTCTCTTGATCTTCGAAAAGTCAGCGAAGAAGAGAATTTTTGTAAAATAAATATGTATGATAGGTAATAAATAATATTTGTAAAATAAATAAATATGTTTGATGAAATAAATGTGTATTCTCTTGACAAGAAGCAAGAGATTTAAATGATATCTTACTATCTGCATGTATTTTATGTTTGCAGAAAAGAAATAAATTATCTTTCTGTAAGTCATTTAAGTTAGAATTTTGTGTTTTTAGTCTTGTTTGCTTTACTTATTATTATCTACTTCTTTTTTTTTAATGCAGAATACGTATCCAAGCAATAAACAATGTTGGTCCGGGTCCATTCAGTTCATCATTAAAAATAGTAACTAGAGGACTTCCACCTTTGCCACCAATCTTAGAGTGTTGTGGTTATTCACATAACAGTTTACGTCTGAAGTGGGGTGATGGGAAGAATTCTGATTTGAAAACTTATACACTCGAGCTTGAAAACCCACAAACAAAAAGGTGAGCTTTGTATATAGATTTACAGTTTTTATTTTAAAGGTTGTTGTGTAAAAGGAAAAATATCAACTGAATTAATAATAATAATAATAAAAAAAATTACTGGGGGAGAGATAGTCTGTTAAGAACATTTTAAGCATTTTTTTCATAATTTTTATTTAAAGGTAATCAGATGGCTTCCTTTCTTTGTACACTTCATCTTTTTGAGGTGTCAAAATTTCCAGCTAAGCTTTTTTAAATATTGAAAACCGTTATGCTTTCCTCTTTCTGCTATTTTGTGAAAAAAATGTGAAATATTGAATGTATTATAATACAATAATAATATAAAAAAGCAAAAGGAAAAAATTGCTTTTTAAAATTACATCTGAGGTCATTGTCTTACTCAAAATGCAAGAATGGTCAGGATTTCTCCATATATCTTCTCATATGACTGGGATGGTTCAGTTTCTGACATTTTTTTCCCTCATCCTTTGAATGTATGGGATTTTGTAAGAGAGAATGGCCTCTTTGATTGAATGTAGGGACATCTAGTGATTATAAATTAGCACTAATAATGCAACTGAGATCTACTAGAAAGTAGAAATGAGATGTTAAGTGCCTAGGATGCTGATTCCTTGTAAATACTCCTTCCTTTCAAACAGGGGCGTAGCTAGAGGGGGGCAAGTGGGGGCATCTGTCCCCGGGTGCAGAATCCAAAGGGCGCCAAACTGATGTTACGATATTTTAAAATTAAATGTTTTCCATCCTTGGCAAGCAGTAGGGGGCGCGAAATCTTCAGTTGTCCCTGGGCGCTGAAAACCCTAGCTACGACTCTGCTTTTAAAATTAAAAATGTTAGTATATTTTGCATTTTTAATTTAATAAAAAATTGGTTTACATTAAAAAAAAAAAATTTACAGTAAAAAGAACAAGTATCAGGAAGATTGAGCACATAGACTTCAGCAAGGTTCAGATGCAGCATTAGTTCAAATATGGTGGCATAAAATCTTTATATATTATTTTGCTGCATGAGACTTAGTAGATTCAAGTGTTGGAATTGATTTAATCAACTAGAAGCAACTGTATTAGCAAGAAACGTTATGAAGTGAATTCTTGTTTATGTAATATATTAATAAACTATATGCCCTTCTGTTAGAACGATTTCCATTGATACAAATGAAAATCAGCAGGTTTTGATGATCTGCTTTAATGAAAGACCATTGTATTTGCAAAATATGTGTGTAGAAATCTTTCAGTATCTTGAATTGTATTGCATCATGTATACAAGCAATTTTATATTATAGTTTATTTTTTAATAGGTTTATGCCTGTATATCAAGGTCCAGGTCATACTTTCAAAGTGACAAAACTTCAAGAAATCACATCATATAGTTTTAGAATATATGCCTCTAATGAAGAAGGAGATGGTCATTGTTCAGATGTTTTTACTTTTAACACTCAACGTGCACTGCCACCTGCCCTGAAAGGTTTATTTCTTATTACATATTATCAACATGTTCATTGCAAACTGTAATAATTTTAGTTTGTAAAAAATGTCTACTTTAATGTGTTTTTGGATTATAATTAGTTAATTATCAGATGTATAATTAACTAATTACACTGGTTAATTATCCATGTGGATCAGTTTATAATGAATAAGTTTTTACTAATTTATTTATTATAAATTAGCAGAAAATGTAGTCATTAACTTTTACCCCTTTAGATCCCTCAGGGGGCTCACTTTTGTGAGTACGGGTGTGGCAATCCCGAGGTACCCTAGCCCTTCAGGGGATCATCTTCTTGATGAGACGGGTGTCACGATCCTGGAGCCCCAGTGATCTGTCCTCTTTTCCGTCTCCTCTCCTCTTTGCTGGAACTTTTTCACTTCCCTTCTCCCTTGTGGTTTCTCTCTATGGAGTTTGGGGCTTGTCACGAGAGGCTGGAACAGACCTTGTCTCTAGTTCTCGAGTGGCGAGAAAACTGCCCACGTGTTTGCCGTGCGTGGAGACCCGTGTCGCTGGAAAGGAGGGTCCTGGTAGTTGAGGGGCGAGGTACTGTCCCCAACACACTGCTTTGGCCTCTGCTTCAGCTAAACGGGAGGCACCTTAGTCGTCCTCACGGGTGTCAATCGGCTGGTCACTAGTCCTTGTGTCAGTGGCTTGGGGTCAAGCTCTCGGGAGTACCTGCTTTCGGGAAAGCCGACTGTGGGGCTTCAGTTTGCGTATAGGTCCGGCTAGCCCTAACACAGGAATCTGTGTTCCCTTGTTGGGCTCCGTGGTGGGCGGGGCCGTTGGACCCGAATCTTTTCTTATTTCAATATGGCTAATTCTCAAATTTTTCTGATCAAGACTTCGAAGTCACTCCAGTCTCTCAACCTAGTTCTGAAACGTCCACTAAACCAGTCACTCAACCTAGCTCTGAACCACCTACTAATAAACCAATCATTCAACCTAGTTCTGAAAAGTCTACTACTAAACCAGTCACTCAATCTAGTTCTGAAAATTCTGCAAAAAAATTACGGACAGATGCAAATAAAAAAAAATCATAACAATAGTCCCCGTTTCCTAGTCATCTCTAGTCCTTCTGGCGAAATGCATAAGATGTCTCCTTTCGTGATTAACAAATACATCCAGTCTTGTATTGGTGAGCCGAGAAATATAAAGCGTCTCCGCTCCGGAGACTTCCTTATTGATACAATCTCAGCCACCCAGTCTGCTTCTTTACTTCAAATAACTAAACTTGGGCAAGCGAATGTCAATGTAACAGCACATAAGACACTGAATTATTGTCGTGGCGTTATATCGGAATTCGACCTTCTGTATGTTCCTGTATGTATGAAGAAGAGATCGCTTCCGAGCTATCCGACCAAAATGTCTGCGGTGCTAGGCGGATCAAGATGCGTAAGGAAGGTAAGTTGATCGATACGAAACACGTGATCCTTACCTTCAACACGCCTGATCTGCCTAAGAATATTAAGGCCGGATATTTAAATTGTCCCATAAGACCTTATATTCCCAACCCTATGCGATGCTTCCAATGCCAGCGTTTCGGCCATTCTAAGACGTCTTGTCGTGGCAGCCTCACATGCGCCCGATGCTCACAGATTGGCCACGATTCTGAAAATTGTACCGCTGCGCCTCTTTGTATAAATTGCAAGGGTGAGCACCCAGCATTTCCACGCCTCTGTCCAAAATGGAAATTGGAAAAAGAAGTGCAGACTGCAAAGGTTACGAGGAACATCTCATATGCCGAAGCCAGAAGATTAGTCCAAAGCACACAGCTACGACCAAATACATCTTACGCCAATGCTCTTAAAAAATCTCGCTCAGTTGCTACCCAAACATCAGTTAGTATGCAGACGCCACCAAACAAAACTCAACAGACTACAAACAACAAGAAGAAAGAAAAACCCAACCCATACAGTACAAAATAAAGAAATAGTAATTCAAAGCAAACCCAAAACTACCACACGAAAAGAAACAATAAAAATAGAAGTTCCAGCAATAGCTCTCTTGATGGAATGGTTTCTGAATCTGCGGATTCAGACGGTATGGAAGTAGAAGAGGGTCTGGAAGTTCCCAAGCATCTACTTCCACGAAAAACCAAACAAGAGCACAGAAAGAACAAAAACTATTCATAATGGCCACCCTTGTATCATGGAACTGTCGTGGTTTCCACCGAAATCTGCTCGACATCAAAGCTATAATCAATGTTCATCAACCTTTATGCTTCGCAATACAGGAAACAAATCTAAAACCGGAACAACAAGCAAAACTTTGGAGGTTTTCTTTCGTCAGGAAAGACAACATTGCAGGTGAGCGTGCCAGTGGAGGTGTAGGTCTTCTCACCTCACTGGATTATCCCTCAAATGTGCTTTCTTTGACGACATCCCTCCAAGTTGTCGCTACTCAAACAAATTTTGATTTTGTTGCTACAGTCGTTTCTCTGTATTTGCCTCCAAATGAGCATATTGATCAGCAAGATTTAAATGGTCTTTTAGAGCAGCTGCCTGAGCCTTTCATCATAATAGGAGATTTTAACGGCCATAGTCCGCTCTGGGGTAGTAAGGATACTAATTGCCGAGGAAGACAAATTGAGCAGATGATCGAAGATCATAGCCTTTGTCTCCTCAATAATGGGCAAGATACTTACTTCCATGAGCCTTCAAAACATTCCATGCTCTCGACCTTGCCATCTGTTCACCATCTCTGTTGCCTTTTTGCACTTTTAATGTGGGTAAAGATCTTTACAACAGTGATCATTATCCCATTCTTTGTGTCTCTTGCACGAAGGGGAGCAAACCCCATGTCGAGATCCCCTCGATTCATACTGGACAGGGCAGACTGGGAACTCTTCTCTTCCATTGCAGAGCTCACAGATGAAATGGTAGAAGATGCGCATATCGATGACGCTGTTGAAGCTGTTACTAATACTATTATTCAGGCAGCTATGCTCTTCCATTCCTAGAACATCAGGAAAAACTACTAAAATATTCAAAACCATGGTGGAATCGCGACTGTCATGAAGCACTGAAAAAACAGAAAAAAGCATGGGGTATTTTTCGTAGATATCCTACTCTGCGAAACCTCATAGCCTTTAAAAAGAGCCAAATCAAATGCACGAAAAGTAAGAAGGCAGAGCCAGAGGGATTCCTGGATTTCATATGTGTCGTCAATAACATCCTCCACGCCTAGCAAGCGGGTTTGGGAAAGAGTTCGAAAAGCATGCGGCATATATAAAGACCACTCACTTTCCTTTTTGGAAAAAGATGGCCGAGTGATTAGCTCCATAGAAGAAATTGCGAATACTATCGGTGAGACATTTGCTTCCGTTTCTTCCAGCAGAAACTATACACCTGCATTTCTTTCTATGAAGCAGCACTCTGAAATAAATCCCATCGCATTCAACTCTTCCAAATCTGAGCCTTACAATAGAGACTTTACTATGCTTGAATTAAGGAGTGCTTTATTGCAGACATATAGGTCTTCTCCGGGTCTTGATGGAGTGAATTATGAAATGCTAAAGCATCTGTCCTGTAAGTCACTGAATGCCCTTCTCACTCTTTACAATAGGGTGTGGAAGGAGCATGCCTTTCCCAGTGCATGGAGGAGAGCTATTGTCATTCCTATTCCTAAGCCAGGGAAAGATCCAAGGAATCCCTCCAACTATCGGCCAATTGCCCTTACGAGTTGCCTCTGCAAACTGTTTGAAAAGATGGTAAACAGCCGCCTAGTCTACTTCTTGGAAAAGAATGATATTATATCGCCTTATCAGAGTGGTTTTCGAAAGGGAAGAACAACTGTAGATAACATGCTCCTCTTAGAGACATCTATTTGAAAAGCATTTTGTAAGAAGAAGCCACCTTGTCTCGATATTCTTCGACATTGAAAAAGCTTATGATAAGGCATGGAGATACGGTATACTCCGGGATCTTCACGAGAGTGGCTTGCGCGGCAACCTACCAATTTTCATTCAAAATTTCTTGAACACTAGAACTTTTCAAGTAAGAATTGGCTCTGTTTTTTCGGATGTTTTTAAACAGGAAGAGGGTGTGCCTCAAGGCTGTGTGTGCTCAGTGTAACCCTGTTTAGTTAAAAAATAAATTCTGTACTAAAAGAACTTCCTCCCACCATCTTGGGATCTCTATATGTTGATGATCTGCAGATTAGCTGTCGAGGAGCAGACATGAGATATGTAGAGAGGCAACTGCAGATGGCTCTGAATAAGATCCAAGAATGGTCAGACAAACAGGGATTTACATTTTCGAAACAGAAAACTGTGTGCGTGCACTTTTGTAGGAAGCGAAGTCTCCATCCTGAACCTGAGTTATATTTGAATGGTACAATTATTTCAGTTGCGCCTGAAGTAAAATTTTTAGGAGTGACGTTCGACCGAAAATTGACTTTCCTTTCTCATGTTTTAAACCTGAGAAAGAAGTGTCTAAAACACTAAATATTTTAAAAGTGTTGGCGAACACCTCCTGGGGTGCAGAGCGTTGCTCTATGCTTCGCATTTACAGAGCGCTCGTCCGCTCTAAACTGGACTATGGCTCCAGTTGTGTATGGATCCGCTCGGTCATCTGTTTTGTTAAAACTGGATCCTGTTCACCATCAAGGTCTGTGGATTTGTTCAGGAGCATTCAGGACATTCTCCTGTGCCAGAGCCTATATGTTGACTGTAACGAACCATCCACTTTATCTGAGGCGTGAGCAATTGTCCCTTTTACAATATTTTAATATCTTATCCCAACCTGAACATCCCAATAAGCTTGTGCTTACTTGATAATGATGTGTAACACTTTATTTGAAACACGTCCCATCCTGCGTTTGCCTACCTTTCTTTTAAGACTTCGCCCTATCATTGAGGAACTTTCCTCTCTGATATGCGCCCCCAAGCAGTAGCAGAACTTTTGAAATCCCACCTTGGGAAAATTCACGGATTCAGCTTCTTGATGTTTTCAAACCATCACGTGAAGGCAAGCACTAAC